CAGGTAGCAAGCCCTGGCTATCTTCTGGTTCCCTCTGGCGTAGCCGACGCCGTCCTTGGTGGGGAACTTGAGGCATAGATGTCTCATGGAGATGATGGCCTCAAGGTCCTCCAAGGCCGGTCGTCCCCAGATCATGTTGTGGGCGCTGTCCAGGTTGACAACCACGAACTCCATGTCAATCTTCGCCTGACAGGTACCGTCACTGACCACAACGGGAAGCACTATCGTGCCCTCGGCGTCGATAGAGTCCCCGGTGAAGCCGGATAACGGAGTCCGTATCGGCCGGAGCTCGGTCTTCTTCAACTTCAGCTGTCTGAATGTATTAACGTACATCACGTTGACAGAGCTGCCAGTGTCGATGTAGTTGCGGTGGATGATGTTGTTGCCAATCTCGCATTTGACGACGAGGGCGTCCCTGTGGGGCAAGGGGCCGAAGGGGAGGTCCTTGTCGGTGAAGGTGATGGCTTCCACATGCCGCCGCTTCGGCTGAGGGGGGGCGTGGGTCACCTCACCAACGTATAGGGACTGCGCCCATTTTTTCCGTTGGGTAGCCGAGTCCCCCCCTGTGTTTCCGCCGACGATGATGTGAATGTGATGCTTCTTCTGGCGGGGCTCCTCTTCGTCCTCATCTTCACTGAGGGCGCCGATCTCCCTCTTTTTCCCGGAGGATCCTTCCCCCCTTTTGCCAGGGTTAACCCAAGTGTTACTTTTGGGGGCACCCTTGACAAATTGGGAAAGTTCCCCCTGTCGGATGAGGCCGTCAATGTGCCTCTTCAAGGTGGTGCAATCCTCGGTCTTGTGGGATGTCTGGCGGTGGTACTTGCAGTATGTCCCTCCCTTGTGGACCGCGAATATCTCCTCTTCTGACCTGGGATCCTTCACAATGAGGCCCTGCGCCTCGGCGTGGTCAAGGACGACGCTCACCGGGTGGGTGAGGGGGATGCGCTGTGCCTCCAACTTTGGGCGCCATGAGCGGTCCTCTCTTCGCTGTCCGCCTTGCTCCTGGTGTGCCTTCTTTGGCTGGTGCTGTCCCTTGTTGGCCGGCGGGTGGTGGGGGTTGGACGAGGAGTCCTTCTTTTGTTGCTTCTCCCCACCCTTCTTCTGGTTCAGGAGCTCGTCGGCATCAGCGTGCCTATCTCCGCGTCGGAGCGCCGCGAGGTATGACCGCGGCGGCTCCGTGAACAGGCTCCGGGCGAAGTGGCTAGGCCGGAGTGCTCCGCGGAGAAAAGCCAGGAGGGTGCGCTCATCGGCTCCTTCGCATTCGTCCGCCTCCCTCGTCCAGCGATCGAGGAAGGCTCGGAGCGTCTCCTCCGATTGTTGTTTGATGGTCAGGAGATGGGCGAAATGCTTCTTCGCACGCTTCCTCCCGGCAAAATGGGTGAGGAAGCGTTGAGCTAGGTCCTGCCATGAGTCGATGCTCCCCTCTGGAAGGTTGTTGAACCAATCGTACGCGGGTCCTTCCAACGTGGATAGGAACCAGCGACACATGTACTCCTCTGAAGCGTTGGTCATCATCATATTGTTCTGGTAACGGGTGAAGTGCTCATGAGGATCAGTGCGGCCGTCATATGGCTTGATCGGATTCCCCTTGTACTTCTCTGGGATGGGAGCGGAGAGCACCCTCGCAGAGAAGGGGGTCCGGGTCCGTACTTGGATGACGGGCTCGTCGCGTCGGTCGGCCAACTCCCTCTCCAAGGCACTGACCTTGTGCAGGAGTGCATCGTAGTTGGGATGCTGGGATATGTGAGCCGCCGCGCGCCCTGCGGCCTCTCGGGCCTCCATATCAGCGAGGCGCTTCTCCAGGCGGGCGATGATCTCGTCCCTTGGGTCCGTGTTGGCCGCAGCGCCACCCAGAGGGGTCTGGATCCGGGCCGCGTGGGCCAGGTTGATCTGATGGCGCGCATTATTATCATTCAGTTTTCCCTTTCCTTTGTCTGGTCGGGGCCGATCCGTTGTCCGGGAAACGGACCCGAAGCTTTCCTTTGGCGACCCCGGCTCGCGGCCACCCAACCGACCCGCCACCCCCTCCCGTAGGTACCCGACGGCTCGCGATGTCACCCAGCCTGTTGAAGGCTGAGATTTTACCGCGAGGTTGGGCCGGTGTATCCCGGGTAGGTGAGGCAGTGTGGGAATGGGTGTCCACGGCGAGGACGTCCTCGTTGTCACCGAAGAAGGTGACGCCTTGCGGACGAGGTGGCGGTGGTGGCACCGTTGCGACCTCTCCAGTTGCCGGAGTGTTGTTCTCCCCTGTCTTTGCGACGAGAGCGCTGACCACGTTGGGGTCCTGGAGAATGCTCGCGACGATGGCCGATAGTGCGGCTGGGTTGATCTGGGGGGCAGCAGGGTGAGAAGTCTGCTGGCCCGAAGCGCGATCAGCATTGCGCCTGTCCTCGAGCCCGATGCGGGCGTCTGGGGCAGTCTTGTTGAGCTGGACGCGGAGGTCAGCCGCTGCGTGCTCGACCTCCTGAGCATTCTCATCCTGGATGATGAGATCATTGGGGACGTTGTCAGCAACGTTTCCCTGCCCCTCCTGGTTCAGTGGGGCGTTCCTACCGGTGTTCTTTGACCTAGTTCTTGTCATAGCTAGCGGTAGTGTCTGGTAGCGACGAAGGGTACTCACTTGATCTGTTCTCAGCTCTCAATGAAAGCACCAAATGATAGCGTATTAATTCTAGAGAGAAGTGAGAGCTAGAGAGAGAAAGTGAGTAATTATATTTCTCAACTTGCCAATCCCCCATAATTAGCCCCTTGGGGTCTATTTATAGGTAAAAATGTGGATTTGGGCCCCTAGCCTTGGGCTTAGGAGGCCCATTACAATAATCATGCCTTCTTTGGGCAAATAAGGCCACTAATGGGCTGAGTACAACACTTAGTACATAAAATAGAAGAATACATTCTGTCCGGCCGAAGTTCGGACGATGCGGTCCATGGACGATGCGGTCCATGGACGATGCGGCCCATGGACGATGCGGTCCATGGACGATGCGGTCCATGGACGATGCGGTCCATGGACGATGCGGTCCATGGACGATGCGGTCCAAATAAATCAGGCGATATCTTCTTTCTTGGACGCTGCATGCCTCTGGCCGATGCGGGTGTCCTGCTGGTGCCTTTTTGGGCCATTGAGTATGTGGGCTATGGGGTCCAGGCCCATATACTCTATCAATAGGTATAAGCAAAAGGGTATATTTGTCCATGAAAATTAATTATTAATTATTAATTACGAATTTTAATTAAATATAAAGAATTATATTATTATTTTAGGGAAAAAACTAGTTAGGTCATAGATTGAAAAACTCATTGAGTTTTAGTCACACATAGAGTAAATATCTCTTATTTTTTCTAATATACTCGTAGTATGCATTCGTTAAAAGTATCATCACTCTATATAATTCTTTCCTCCTAGTGCAATAATAATAAATTCTTTAACTCAACAAGAATTTTTTTTTAAAAAACGTAATAACAATTCTTCCCTGCTAGTAATAACTTATATATATGCTCTGTAATATATATTGCTTATTTTCAACGAATTTCAGCGCGCATTACATCACGTCAACCAGCATCATGAACAACTTTTTTAAAAGAGGCAGGTTCTTTAATTACTAACTGAGAGAGCCGTCAGGAATACACGATAGTGCATGGTAAGAAAATTTGTCACAATTAATATAGTGAGCTATAGGAAACAGTCAAACAGTGTACCTAATTTGGCCGATGGAGAGGAAGAAGCGGAGATGGACTGTCATGCTTGATGGTATGTGTCTCAAAATCGCGTGCATAAGCGGATGGACGGAAGTTTAATCTATTTCCCTCGACCCAAGTCTAGTGAGGAAGGTCTAGAGGTAGATGGCGCCTCAGATGCAGTAGCAGTAGGAGCAAGAGAATCAGGGCATGCGGTGTAGGAACAGGATACTCCCAGCTATCGAAAGGTGGAAACGATGGGGGGTCCTCCTGGGCTGGTGCTGGAGTAGTGACAAAAGGAAATGCGTCCTCAACAAATTTGATGTCCCAGGAGACAATGTACTCCTCCGTCTCAAGGTCATAAACTCACCACCCCTTTTTACTTTTCACCTGAAGGATACCCAACAAAAATACATTTGTGAGTTTTGCTTAGAAATTTGTCTCTAGCAGAATCAATAGGGGTGATTCGGTACGGTATACCTTGTATTTTTTCTCATACTTTTTCCGCACCAAAACTTTCGGCATGCAAAATTTGCATACCTTCACCTTACCGAAGTTTTGGTATACCGCATTTCGTTATACCACATTTCGGTATACCGAAGTTTTGGTTCGGTAACGGTATCGGTAAATTACCGTGCATGTCTCCCAATACAAAAAATTAGCATAGACTAACGAAATATACTAAATCGTTATTACTAGCGACATATCATATCTATTATTAAAATGTTATGAAATACAATTAAGAATCTATTGATGTCAATTCAATATTGAACAATAATTATTATTATGGGTATATTTAAGCATTTCAACATGCCACATATTAAAAAGTAACACATTCTCCTAAAATAAGTTGAACAAAATAGATATAATTAAATCAATAACTTGAACAAAATGGATATAATTAAATCATTAGTATATTAATATTTATAATAATTATAATTATACTTATAGAAATATTTAAATCAGATCAGAAGGATTCAGATCAGATCAGATCAGAAAAATTCAGATCAGATCAGATCAGAACTTAAAAAATTCAGATCAGAAATATTCAGATCAGGCGAATAGAACCACTTCTAAGAATGCAAATAATCAAACTGAGTATACTAATATACTACTATCTCGAATGTTTCCTAATTTCTTTAGGAGTATATGATTAGGAGCGAGGTTACATGGCTTCATACTATAAACTATTATCTCGAATGTTTCCTAATTTCTTTAATTTATGCCCGAATTTGGAAATCTACAAACAAAATGTCTACGGAGTATGTAATTTATCTCGCAAACAAAAATATATACGGAGTTCTATACAAGTGAAGCTATAGATCGAATTAACTTCCATCTGTTCTTTTGAAAAATAACAATGGCGGTAACAAGAACAACAAAGCGGGTTATCCGTGAATATGGAAACCCTATAACCATGAATTACGTCCAAACCCTACTATTGATGGGTTTAGCCCGACCCAGCTCCACGAAAATGGTTGCCGGCGCTTTCTACATACCCAAACACAACCCTTCCATGCCCCTCGGCCAAGACTCCCACTTCATCCTTCCCGGGGCCCACACCGTCGGAGTCGCAGACGGCGTCGGCGGCTGGTCCAAGAGAGGCATCGACGCCGGGATCTACGCCAGGGAACTCATGCGCAACGCCGTGTTGGCCATCCGGCGGCAGCTCCAGTCGGAGGGGAGCGTGGACCCCACCGCGGCCCTCGACGAGGCCTACGTGGACACCGACGAGCCGGGGTCCTCCACGGCGTGCATATTGACTCTAGTCGACGACGTCGTCCGCGCCGTCAACGTCGGGGACAGCGGGTTCGTGATCCTGCGTGGAGGGCGGGTTTGCTACCGGACTCCGGTCCAGCAGACCCGGTTCAACTGCCCGGTCCAGCTCGGGCGGGACTCCGACGACTCGAGCGTCGCCGAGGAAATCGAGGTGGCCGTGGAGCCCGGAGATGTCGTCGTCATGGCCACTGACGGGTTGTTCGACAACGTCCATCAAGAGGAACTCGAGCGGTTGGTTCAAGAGGATGCCGCCGGCGGCGGAATTAAAAACCCCGGGAATCTGGCGGCGAAGATAGCGAGATACGCCCTTCGGAATGCGATCAATGGGGAAATCGAGACTCCTTTCTCGGTGGAGAGCAGAAAGGCGGGGGTCGACCCGGAAGCCGTCGGCGGCAAGTACGACGATATCACGGTGATTGTTGCTTACATTATGCGACCCTCCAAAAAGCGCCGCCGAATGAACCAGTAATTCATGCCACTCTGATTCGACAAGTCTTTTTGGCGGGAGCTGAGGGCAAATGTGTAATTAATTTGAAGCACAAGTGTGATTAATGAAATGGAGTTAATTTTTAATTCTCAGCTTTGATTATTAAATTACTGTAATATATGTACTCCTACATGCAATTTATATATGCTTGGGCCTTGGGCAAGTCTGTCAAAATAATAGTGCTCATTATTCCTCAATTCGGAGGTAGAGTCATAGTCCATGCATATGAAGTATTTTAGTTATAACTGAGTATGTATAATCTACTGAAATCTGAGTTTTTTGTTTATAAATTACCACTCCGTATATGTATCTGAGTTTTGGTTGTGATTTTCTGATAATTACTCTGCTTTTTGTAATTACTAGGGAACATTTTATGTAGTTGTTCTGTATTACTTGCTCTGTATATATAGTTTTGTAGGGGATGCTAAATGTTCCCTCTTCATATAAATAAAAAAAGAGATAATTTGAGTTTACACCTCATATTATTGACTAAATTGAACTTTGCATCCCATTTTTAAAATCTTTGTTTTTGCACGTACTCAATCCCATATGAAAAGACAAAAATTCTATCAATCAAGAATATGTTAAAGGTCAACGTATAGAATTGTTAATGGAGTGACATTTTAGTCTTTTCAAATAATGTTGGGGTGCAAAAACAAAAATTTTAAAAATGGGGTGCAAAGTCTAATTTTGACAATAATATGGGGTGCAAACTCAAATTACCCCTAAAAAAATACATTTTCGTTGTAATTCTTCAAGTGCCATAAAACTGCAAATATTTTGTTCATCTTTAGTTATCACATTTCTTTTTTGCTTTTTTGCTTACAACTACCCCACATGGCTTTTTTGAGATACTTCCCCACATATATATACATTATGTACTGCAGAGAAAAACTTCATGTCAGGCCGGCCTGACGGGCTGCCCCGTCCGGCCGAGCCCGTTTGGGAACCTTCCCGGTGGAATTTTTTGATGAAATTTTTTTAGCATGTTCCTAATCAAGTCTAGTTTGTCCATACCAAATTTCAGCTCAAAATTCGATCGGGAAGGTCGTCAAATGATTTTTGCAAGTTAACTGGTCCGGAATATGTATTTTCCGGACCAGTTAACTTGCAAAAATCATTTGACGACCTTCCCGATCGAATTTTGAGCTGAAATTTGGTATGGACAAACTAGACTTGACGAGGAACATGCTCAAAAAATTTCATCAAAAAATTCCACCGGGAAGGTGCCCAAACGGGCTCGGCCGGACGGGGCAGCCCGTCAGGCCGGCCTGACATGAAGAGCACTCATGTACTGCATGCATGTGTCCTATAATTCCATGTTTTCTATAGTATTTTGTTATACTACGTAATTAAATAGCTATTGCATTACTTATTGTGTGTATATATATAGTTTAATTTCTAGTGTAATTCGCAGTCCACTTGTTATAATTAAATAGCAATTACATTAATTGTTCTGTATATATAGTTTCTAATGTAATAAAGGCACAATAAGCAGGGGGAGTTGAGAAAAAATCACTTGCTCCATTCACAATTTATTCTGACATAGATATATCATATGTGTACCATAAAAGTTTTGAAAACTTAAATTTATTCTCCGTATTATTCTATTACTCTATTTTCTCTTTTTGTAAGCCCAAATATAATAAAAATAGGCAACTCATAATAAAAGTCCCAATTAAATACAATCGCACGGTTGACCGAGTTGGTAGTTAAACCTTTTTTTGTGTGACGATATTTGGATACTAAAGCTAGAATTTATTAATTACTCCGTATATATTTGGATAAAAAGCACTCTCCACAATAGTTTTTAGAATTTTCAGGATTGGAAAATTACATAAACAAATTGTTACATGTACAATTTTTGTACATGGTCAAATTGTCTAAGTATATATATAGACGTTTTTTGGGGAAAAAATATTCGTGTACAAAAGATGTACAAAATTTGTGTAGAAATAGATCGACCTTCTGCAAGTATTAGATCCAATAGATTGCACTAATTACATATGTATATTTTTAGATCCCAAACTATTTTTTGTTTTTTACGGTAAGATCCCAAACTATTTTTAGGATGATGCTGTTGTTTAAAAACAACCACTCTAACTATTTAGTTCTCTTAAATACTTCGTATTACTTAACTTATTTAAGTTTGATTTGGCCAAAAAAACTTATTTAAGTTTGATTTCCTATGCTCGAAAAATTATGTTGGGTGTAGTAAATAAGAAGTATTTATTAACCTTGATATTTAAAATAAGGTTGTTTTCTTTTGGACTGTTTTCAGTCCCAGACCAGACCAGACCAGACCAGATCAGACTTCCGTAGTTATAGAATACACAGAGACCAGACGTTTACCAGACCAGACCAGACCACTTCAGACCAAACCAGACCAGACCAGACCAGACCAGCAAATTTCAGTCCAAAAGAAAGCATCCTAATACACAAGTATTTCTAATTCCCGGCAGTTAGGTTATTCAATGTAAAATGTAGAATATTTTTACTTGGACTGTTTTCATGAGACCCGGCCCTAACTAGACCAAATCTGACCAGACTTCCATAGTTATAAAATACAAAGAGACCAGACATTTACTAGACTAGACTAGACCAAACCAAACTTAAACAGACCAAACCAGCAAATTATAATCCAAGCAAAAACATCCTTAGTCACTTGATCACTCGCGTAGATATGATATCACATGTGTACCTTAAACGTTTTATCCTACGAGGCTAGATTTTATTTTTGTTACCCCAAATATAATTACATATGACCAATCACCAATTCATTATAAAACTCTAACCAAAATAAAAACAATGAGGTTTATATCTTATGATATTACTAATACATAATCATGGTCTCATGGACAAAAAATACGACTCAATAATTATTATTTTTGGCAATTCGACTTGATAATTATTAGTTACTATAATTGTATTCAAAGTTCCATCATAGTGACGTCATGTTCACTACAATGCAAACTTTGATCACAATTATAGTTGCTATTTACTAATAATTACTATGTATTAAATTACTTTTTTGTCCACAACTTTTAAAGAGTAAGGGGATCACTTTCCGTGCAAAATTTTCATAAACAATTGCTTATGGCGACGAACGTGCGGTTGACTAAAAAAATGGGATACCGAATGCTTGGTTCAAACCGTTATTTTATCATTGAATTATACTTCGTGTTTAAATAATTCAACTACAATATTCTAATTAATTCATTTAGAAACGGTATGGTATCGGTTCCATATAACTTTTACCTTTTCGCTATACAGTCGGAGCGACATATGATGAGCATTTTAATCCTCTATCTAAAATGATGTCATTGAATTTTTCTTTTAAGGTAACGAGCATACGAACCAATATGAATATATGATCCTCACTCACACCTTTTCCATCTAGCCATTAGACTCTCCAGTCCAAATATGAAATCATTTATATGAAAATGTAACCTTTGTTATTGGAAATATAATCTACTCGGCTAGCATTGAATGTAAACTCTTAAACTTTGAATCATGTACGTAGTATATAAATAAACGATTAATTATTAGTGTAAATAAAAATTATAAAAAGTGTTACTGGAAAATGTAACATGAGGAAGTGTGAAAAGTAAAATGTAGAGTTTTGAAAGTGTAATTGGAGGCAAGTCAAAACTTAAATTAATTCGTGTTAATGCAAAATGTAACTTGAGACAAATTAAATCGGAATGTAAATCACTCTAACTAAAAGTGTAACCACAGACAAATCAAAATGTAAACCGCATTAATGGAAAATAAAACTTCAGGCAAGTCAAAATGTAAATCATATTAATTGAAAATGTAACTTGAGACAAATTGAAATGTAAATCTCTTTAATATTTGATCACATTTGAGGATGTTTTTACTTGGACTGTAATTTGCTGGTCTAGTCTAGTCTGATCTGGTTTAGTCTGATCTGATCTCGTCTGGTCTCTTTGTATTTTTATAACTATCGAAGTCTGATTTGGTCTGGTCTAGGACGGATTACAGTCCAAGTAAAAACATCGATCATGAAACTCACCATTTTTAAGTGAAAGAAACAAGGTAAAAAGGGCTTTAATTTGTGGCGCTCAAACCAGATATGAGTAGATTGTGTGATAGGGTGGAATGAGCATACCTTACATTAAGAAACATATCACTAAAAAGCAGACTAATCAAATTAAGAATAAAATCGTAAAATCAATTATAAGCAATATAATTTTTGGACAAAAACATTATGATATTATGTTTAATTATATTTCACTTTGTTGGAAATAATTTTATCGCCTGGCATTTGTAATTTGTGCAAAATTATGTCAATAAAAAAATGAATAAACTAAGTGAGTGATCAAGCATGTACATAGAATCAGGCCTGGTTGTTATCGGGCTTTGTGTATTTATTTAAATTAGTTTTAATTATTTTAGTTAACGGGCCAAGGGCTCACTTTAGCATCTATAAATATTGTACATTCCAAAGAGATCAATAACACAATCAATCTTTACTCCCTAAATATTTTCTTCCTTCGGCTAAACATCTCCAGCCGAACATGGTATCAGAGCAACGGATTTAAGCCATGCGAACCAGTGATCGGAAAACACCAGCGGCATTCGGAATAGTCCCCGCGCGACTACTTCTGGTGGAAACCATGGTTGATCCATCCTCACCCTACTATCTCGGATCCGGGGATCAACCCGGAAACGTGATTACACACGTAATCTTCAAAGGAGATAACTATGTGGCTTGGTCTCGGGCCATTACTCTCTCGTTGAAGGCACGAAGAAAACTCGTGTTCGTAGATGGGACCGAAAAGAAACCGACCGGGGCGGCAAATTTGCTTAACTGGGAGACCGCTAATTCAATGGTGGTATCTTGGTTGTTGAGAAGTATGGAACCCAACGTGGCGGCGTCAATCCCCTTCCACAACGAAGCTCGCGCATTATGGGTTTATTTGGAAAAACGCTTTAGCGTTTCGAATGGACCGAGGTTACAGCAACTTCGTGCTTCTATAACGGGGTGTAAGCAATCCAATAA